AAGGAAGGAAGGAAGGAAGGAAGGAAGGAAGGAAGGAAGGAAGGAAGGAAGGAAGGGAGGGAAAAGAAAAGGAATCCAGCTGAGCATGAAACAGTGAGTGAGCTCTGATCTCTGCTCCAGTTCCTGAAGTTCTTGCTGTGACATCCCTCAGTGTTGGACTGTGACTAGAAGGATCAACCAAACAACCCCTTTTTCCTCAAGCTGCCTTTTGTCAGAATGTTTTATCACAGCAACATAAACCAACAAACATCCTCTTAAAAACTGTGTGAAATGAGTAACAGGTGATAGTTACCTAAGTTATTATATATTATATACATATGACTAAGTTCCATTTTTCTCATTATCCAAATAATCTTTACACTATATGTCTTAGGGTTTCCATTGCTGAGATAAAACACCATGACCAAAACAACTTGGGCACGAAGTGATTTATTTCATCTTACAGCTACCAGGTCACATCCCTTTGTTGAGAGAAGTCTAGGTAGGAACCTGAAGCAGGAACTGAAGCAGAGGCTATGTAGTAATATTATTTATTGGATATCTACCCAGAGTTTGTCCAACCTACTTTCTTATACATCCCAGAACCACATGCCCAGGTGTGGTGCTACCCACAGTGAGCTAGGCCATCCCACATCAACCACTAATATCCTACATATTAATAGTATCAACATAATGTCCTGCATACTTGCCTACAAGCAACCTGTCAGAAGCATTTCTTCATCTGAGGTTCTTTTTCCCAGATAACACTAGCCTATGTCAAGCTGACAAATAACTAAGCATCACACTATAGAAAACTAAAATAAATAGACTCTCACAATGTCTGTGATGTTCCATCACATGATTTCTAAAATGTGAAAATTCTTTGCAGCTAAATGATTTCTAAGACTGCTCTGCCAAGCAGGAAGTACATCATCACTGTGCAAAAATGAGTTATACTGCTGAGCAATTTAGATGATGTTCTTATATTTAAAAACATAGTGATATTTCTTCAAAACATACGGCTTTATGAACATGAATTGATATGATGAAATTGGAATTGAATATATTACATAACTTTTATGTATTTATCAATATACATAGACCTAGACATAAATAAGCAATACCAATATATTATGAAAAGTACGGGGTATTATATTGCTGAGGTACATATTGCAGTGGGCACCAGATTTTCCTTGAAGATATACATAAATATTTAGTGGGTTTGGAGTTAAGTATTATTTTGTTGACAGCTGTTTCTGAGACCATGGAAGAAGAAATTGAGGAAAAGTAAAAAGAAAGAGAAAACATAAATTTGATCCTCTGGTTTTGCCTTCATAAAAGTTTTAAGTTAAGCTTGTGTGTGTGTGTGTACATGTGCCATAATGCATGTGTAATGATCAGTCCATAAGGAGTTTGTTTTCTCCTATGACGGTAGTCATAGGGCTCACAATCATGCCCTCAGTCTGGGTAGCAGGTATCTTTACCTGGTGAGCCATCTCTCTTTGCCCATAAACGTGCCTTTTTAGTTTTTTTATCCGTTTAAAGAACTTCATTTTGTAATCTTTTAAAATGTTTCCCAAACCTACCAGCACATTGGAACCAAGTATCAATATTCAAATAAAACTGTTATATCTAATCCACCTCAAAAACTATAACATTGGTTTGGAACATATTTAAGCTTGGGAATTTTATAGGACCTCTCTGTGATTATAATTTGCAAACAGTTGCTAGAGCTCAGAAAACAATTTTGCCTTTCAGAGTACTCTAATATAAAGAGCATGAATACCTTAGAAACAAGGTGTCTTTTCCCTTCCTTCCTGTCTGTTATTCTTTATTTCCCACCAAAGCAAAATGGCAAAAGCCCAAGTAATGATAAAATCTAGTTCACTTGTGGCATTTGAGTGAGTATTGTCAACATAGTATCGGGTGGGTGGCACAGTTTGATGAAGTTTAAGCGGTGCAGCATTTCTGGAAGAAATTACTGCACGAGGAATGGACTCCCAAGAGTTGAAACCTCATATCACTTCCAGTTCACTCTGCTTTGCTTTGTGCTTGAAGTTCAAGATGAAATATTAGTTTCCTGTTCCTGCTGCCATGCCTACTGTCAGCTGACATGCTGCCCCACCATTATGGTTTCCAACCCTATGGACACATAAATAAAAATAAACTCTCTTTAAGTTGCCTTCATCATGGTATTTTTTGTTTAATTATTTTTATTTTTATTAATGACAGTTTATTCACTTTGTATCCCTACTGTACCTCCCCCATCCCAATCCTATCCTCCCTCTTCCCCACTCATGTCCCTCTCCCAGTCCACTCATAAGGAAGGTCCTATTCCCCTTCCCTCTGACCCTAGTCTATCAGGTCTCATCAGGACTGGCTGCATTATCTTCTGTGGCCTGGTAAAGATGCTCCCCCCTCAGAGGGAGGTGATCAATCAGTTCATGTCAGAGACAGTCCCTGTCCCCATTACTATGGAGGACACTTGGACACCAAACTTCCATAGGCTACCTCTGTGCAGGCGTTCCAGGACATCTTCACAAGTGGTCCTTGGCTGGAGTATCAGTTTCAGAAAAGACCCCTGTGCCCAGAATTTTTAGATCTGTTGCTGTCCTTGTGGAGCTCCTGTCCTCTCCCTGTCTTTCTATCTCCCCCTTCTTTCATAAGATTCCCTGCACTCTGCCCAAAGTTTGGTTATGAGTCTCTGCCTCGATACCCTGCAAGGCAGAGCCTTTCAGAGGCTCTCTGTGGTAGCTCCTGTCCTGTTCCCTGTTTCTCCCTCCTCCAATATCTATCCTCTTTGCCTTTCTGAATGGGGATTGAGCATCTTAACCAGAGTCCTCCTTCCTCTGGCTTCCTTAGGTTTACAGATTTTAGTATGTTTATCCTATATTCTATGTCTAATATCCACTTATGAGCGAGTATATATCCTGTTTGTCTTTCTGCTTCTGGGATACCACACTCAGGATAATCTTTTCCAGTTCCCACCATTTACCTGCAAATTTCATGATTTCCTTGCTTTTTATTGCTGGGTAATATTCCATTGTGTAGATGTAACAATTTCTGTATCCATTCCTCAACTCATCATGGTGTTTTATCACAGCAATAGAAAAGTAATTAATATATCCCCTCTTCTCCAAAACAAAGTATAAAATGTATACTTACTCACCTTTGTCTGTCTTTCTTTGAAATGAAATCCCCTCATCTACCATGCTCAGTAATAAAAGACCCTCCATCCACAAAGGGCCCATACTGCCTGGGAAGGAGTGCCATGCACAGGTTTAGAACACTTTAAACAGTATGATGTTACCAAATCGCTCCATCTTGTTCCTTTGCTCTTATTTTGGATATTATACATTTAACCCTCTTTTGACCTAAATTTCTACATAACGTGCAGTTTTTGTGAAAGCTAAGCATAAAATGAGACAATTCTCTCCAATTCTTGGGCATTCGTTCATCTTGCATAGTCACATAAAACTGAAAAATGAATGTCATGTTTCTCTTTAGTTTGTCTTTTCCTACAGGTATGTTGTTATGAGGGCCAAGAAAGGCATCACACCTTTTCCCCCAACACAAGTTTCTTTTATATTTTAAGCTCATTTTTCATTTATATGCCTGTGTCTAAGAGAAATATCCCTAGTCATCCCATATCTAAAACAGAGCACTGCAGAAGAGCCTAAAACAAACTAGAGAAAGTAAATATAGGTATATATTATTATAAAACAAGGCAGAATTTTAAAAACCATGGCAAAGTGGACAACTAGTTAGCAAGTCTAACAACTCTAGCTTCTTTATTGCAGAGGTATAAAGAAGAGGCATGGTGTCATTCTTCTGCTTCTATACTTCAAGTGTACAAACGAGTGTCCAGCCAGGTGTAAGACTAAGAAATGTACAGACTTTTAGTATTCTCCTCTTGATATTCAATGGGGATTACACAACTCAAGAATACAATTCTGTATAGCTCCTAAGTAATCTTTAACTTTCATCCAGTTAAAGTTTGTACAATGACTTTGCATAATACACACATGAAATAATTAGTGAAGATGGTTCTTAATTTAAAGGCTGTTAAACAGCTTGTAGACATCTGGTAACAAGCTGAAATGGGTCATTCAAAATTTATCTAACTAAATTAAGGGGGAAAAATGTTTCTCCTCCCAGGTTGGCATGTCACAAGATAACTAAACCGACTTAGTAGGCTTGCCTGGGAATCCTTAGCTGTCAGTGGTGAATATGCAAAGGGCCAGCAAATTAAATCAACCTGCCAAACTGTCAATTTCAAGCCTCATGACTGCATGAAAATAGCATCACTGGAAGAAATCAAGCATTGCCTTCTTTTGGGTTTCCTGGCACCTATTCAAATACTCATGCAGTGGTGGCTAATTTTGCATGCAAATTTCAGTCAATAAGCTCAGAACAAGACCTCCCAAGATATTTCAAAGGCTCTGACAGTATTTTTTCTGAATACCAAATCGACAGTAGTTGAAATTCAATCTCCATTTGTCAGTGCTTTACATATGCACACTGTCCCCACCATAGAGCTAAGTTAATGAGAGCCTTACCTGCTTTCACTCACATCCTCCCAGCCGTCCTTGCTGAGGTCCTCAACATGGCTCATAACCTTGATGGAGTGATTGAGAACAGTGTGGTGGCGACCCACAGCGCACATTTTCTTGGCAGCTCTAAATTTCACCTTGGTAGTGGTTGTCTTGCAGTCATACTGCTGGGCTCTCACATTTGTGGTGGCCACCTCAGTTTTAGCTTTGTCTGTTGGGTGGTGCTCTTCCCCCTCTGGACTCTCCACCTCTTCATTTTTATTTGTCAAAGCCTTAGTCTCTGCCACTTGTCTCCTCAGGGTAGTGACTTCCTTCTCCAGATCAGTGATTTTTATTTTAAGTTCACTCTTGTCGTCTTCCACATCTTTACTCACCTGCAGTAGGCGCTCCAGCTCCTTCTCTCTCACCTCTGAATCTTCTTGATAGTGTTTTAAGTGAGATTTCAGGTAATCGTTTTCTTTCTTTAAGTTTTTATTCTCTTCTTTTAACGTTCTTGACTTTTTCTCAAAAGATTTTAACCGATTTTCCAACTCAATGACCTAAGCAAAAAAGTCTAATTTACTCCTTTAAAATTTAAAACCATAACCTACTTAATTTTTAATTATCATTTCTAACTGATGAAAGTTACATTTAGAACAAGGACAAAATGAATCTATGGCACTTAATTCCTAAATAATTCTAAGGTGATGAAGATGGATACATTCAGAAATGCAATAATGCATCTGCTGAATAAGGGACAGATGGTAAAAGTTAAAAGCCTATGCAAAGTGATACAAAACTAAGGATGTCAATGAGCTGCAGAGTTGTCTAAGATTGGAAGTACTTTGGTTATAAAGTCCCTCTGTGCAAAGAAATATTTTCAGAGAAAAGCTGTTTATAGAGTAGACGTAAAGTAGGCTTATGGAGAAACTAATAGTAAATTGCATTTCTTTAACCCTTGACTACTACATTAAAAATTAAAGACAAAATAAATAACCTGCAACAGTTTTACTTCTACATTAGAAAAGTACTACTTTGTCGTGTGATTCTTATTTCATATAATATTTTTTCAATAAATAATGTTCAATAATCTAAAAGTACAAGAATTTGAAGGTTGCTTGTAAATAAAGCATTTCCATTTTTCAATAAATTGCTCCTATTGTAGGATATAGCTATGGTCAAATACATTCCAGGCCCTAGGTGTCAACAGCCATGGAGAGACAAATACTTGTATACCTTAAAGTAATATATGATACTATAAGAATGTCGTGAATGAACAAGAAGGACAGAATTATTTTAACTCTTACAAAAAAAGGTCTGGATTTAGAACTTGAATAATTAAAAAAAACTGTTATTTGTAAAATAACATTTTACTAGTTTTCAAAATAGTTTCATAAGTATAATTTAAACAGAAACTCATAAACTGCTTTTACAAAGAAGCCCTAACTCTTCATTTGAGCCCACAAGACAACTAAATGCAGATGAACTGGGCATGTATGTCTTTGATTTGTACCTGTATGCTGGCTCAAGAAACAAAGATGAGTATATCTCTACCCTTACCTACTGAACTATCTTGAATTCCACAAGATCCAGAGGGTCAAACAATTGTACACCTCCAAATGAGGATAGTTATCCATGAGGTCAAGAGGCTGTATTTTCAGAGAGTAACAGATTAACAATTTAACACCTTGATGATGGCTCTAAACTGAGATAATAATGGGCAGGACTATACCTTGACCAAGATTGAGTAGTTCACACCTCTATTTTAAACTAACCCTAAAATGCATTTCCACATATATACTATGGACTATAGGGGGAAGCTGTCACTGAAGCCCCTTGTTTGTTTCTTTTCATAATGCGTCTTTGGGGCAAGAGTGATAGATAGCCAGCTTAGTCAGTAAAGCACTCACCTCCAGTGTGAGGATCTGAGTTTGAACTTAATACAAAAACCCATGGTATTCTAGAGCTTGGAATGCAGGAACACATTGAGAAGCTACCCTAGCCTACTTGATGGGTACGTTAATTTTAGGCCAGTTAAAAGACCCTGTCTCAAAAATCAGGAAAAAAGAATAAAAGAAAGGAGGGAGGGAGGGAGGGAGGGAGGGAAGGAAGGAAGGAAAAAGGAAGGAGTGAAGAAATGAAGAACTAAAGAAGGAAGGAAGGAGAGAGAAATGGTGGATTGTGCCTGAGGTGGTCTCAAACCTCCACAAGTATGCATATGCACACACCCCACCACACACATAGGAATCCAGACATTCAAGAGGGAAATTTCAGAGACAGCCCCTGCTCCCCTTACTAGGACCCCACTTGGAGACCGAGTCTATGGGCTACATCTGAGCCAGGTTTTTAGGTTCTCTCCATGTATTGTCCTTGGTTGGGGTATCAGTCTCTGCAGGGGTCCCGGGCTCAGTTTTGGTTTTTTGTTTGTTTGTTTGTTTTCTCTTTTGGAGCACCTGTCCCTTCCAGGTCTTTCTATCTCCACCTTCTTTCAAAAGATTCCCTTGCACTCTTTCCAAAGTCTGGCTATGAGTCTCAGCCTCTGCTTTGATACCTCGATCAGTAGAGACTTTTGGAGGGTAGCCTTGCCAGGCCACAGAGGAAGACAATGCAACTAGTCCTGATGAGATCTGATAGGCTAGGGTCAAATAGAAGGGAAGGAGGACCTCACCTGTCAGTAGACTAGGGGAGGGGCATAGTGGAAGAAGAGGGAGGGAGGGTGGGATAGGGAGGAGATGAGGGAGGGGGACATAGCCGAGATACAAATTGAATACATTGTAATAAATGATAATAATAAAAAATATTAACATAAAAGAAAGAACATTACTCCTCACAAAACAAAGAAGGAAATTTCAATGGGCCTGATGTTGGAGGCTCTTGAACTTAGCTGTTCAGGACATGAAGGACAGAAAACTGTAAGCCCGTGGTCAACCTGGACTACAGAATGAGGTAAAACCCAGCCTGTACAACTTAAAAGACCCTATCTATCTATCTATCTATCTATCTATCTATCTATCTATCTATCTA